CTGGTGTCACCGGAGGGGGGGGAGGGGCACCTGGGTCCCCAAGGGGCGGTGCTGGGTCATTGGATTCCCTGAGGGCCCATAATTGTCCTGAAGGGGCTGTCTCAGTCCTTGGGAGTCCCCATCTGTCCCCAAGGGGCTGTCTCTGTCCCCAAAGTTCCCCGTCTGTCCCCAAGGGTCCCCATCTGTCCCCAAGGGGCTGTCTCTGTCCCTGGGGGTCCCTGTCTGTCCCCAAGGGGCTGTGTATGTCCCCAAGGGTCCCCATCCATCCTGGGGGTACCTGCCTGTCCCCAAGGGTCCCTATCTGTCCCCAAGGGGCTGTCTCTGTCCCTGGGGGTCTCTGTCTGTCCCCAAAGGTCCCCGTCTGTCCCCAAGGGTCTCCATCTGTCCCCATGTGGCTGTCTCTGTCCCTGGGAGTCCCTGTCTGTCCCCAAGGGGCTGAGTATGTCCCTGGGGATTTCCATCTGTCCCCAAGGGGCTGTCTCTTTTCCCAAGGGTCTCCATCTGTCCCCAAGGGGCTGTGTATGTCCCCACGGGTCCCCATCCATCCTGGGGGTCCCTGTCTGTCCTCAAGGGTCCCTATCTGTCCCCAAGGGGCTGTCTCTGTCCCTGGGGATTTCCACCTGTCCCCAAGGGTCTCCATCTGTCCCCAAGGGGCTGTGTATGTCCCCAAGGGTCCTCATCCATCCTGAGGAGTCCCCATCTGTCCCTGGGGGTCTCTGTCTGTCCCCAAGGGTCTCCATCTGTCCCCAAGGAGCTGCGTTGTTGAACCAGCACCAGCGTCAGTTCCAATTTGCTGGGGGAAATATTTGCATTTTATGGCAAACAAATTAAGAAATAAGTAAAGGAAAAAAGGGGTTTTTGACCTGCTGGGGGGTGCAAAGAAGTACCAGGATCACGCGGCCTCAGGAAAAAAGGTGACAAATAAAGTGCAGTTTTGACATTAAATCGTGCTGCCGCGCCCGCGCTCGGCCCCGGCAGTGATGGAGAGGACACGCTTCGATTTGGGCCAAAAAAAACGGTGTTTGGACACTGGGGGCGGGGAGAACGCAGCCTCCCGTCCCGCTGATGGGCGCTTCTGAGGATTTTTTATGTTCTTTCTAATGGTTTTTTCTCTCCAAATACCGAATTTTCCTTTTGGTGCAGCCGCTCCCCATCAGCCCCCGGGTGGTGCGGCATGGGCGAGGGCTGCGGCGTGGTTAAATGATACAAGTGATTGATACAAGTGATTAAATGATAAAGTGATTAAATGATACAAGTGATTGATATAAGTGATTAAATGATACACGTGATTGATACAAGTGATTAAATGATACAAGTGATTAAATGATACAAGTGATTGGTACAAGTGATTAAATGATACAAGTGATTGCTATAAGTGATTAAATGATACAAGTGATTAAATGATACGTGATTAAATGATACAAGGGATTGATACAAGTGATTAAATGATACACGTGATTGATACAAGTGATTAAATGATACAAGGGATTGATACAAGTGATTAAATGATACAAGTGATTGATACTAGTGATTAAATGATACAAGTGATTAAATGATACAAGTGATTAAATGATACAAGGGGTTGATACAAGTGATTAAATGATAGAAAACACAGTGCTGTGCCCCACGATCGTGCCCCACAATTGTTCCCCACAATTGTGCCCCATGATTGTGCCCCATGGCTGTTTCCTACAACTGTGCCCCACGATTGTTCCCCACAGTTGTGCCCCATGATTGTTTCCCAGCATTGTGCCCCACCATTATTCCCCACAGTTGTGCCCCATGATTGTTTCCCAGGATTGTTTCCCAGGATTGTGCCCCACCATTGTTCCCCACAGTTGTGCCCCAGAATTGTTTCCCACAATTATTCCTCATGATTGTGCCCCACAGTTGTGCCCCATTATTGTTTCCCAGGATTATTCCCCACGATTGTTCTTCACAATTGTGCCCCACAATTGTTTCCCACGATTGTGCCCGATTGTTTCCCGTGATTGTTTCCCACAATTGTGCCCCAGCTTGGGCTGCTGTGCCCCCTTGCACATTGTGCACCAGGGTGTGAGCATGCATTGCACAAGCGTGGGGTGGGGCAGTGGTGTGCTGTCACAGGAGGAGCAGCTGTACACACAAGAGGGAGGTTATGTGCTGCAGCCGGGCTGGTGCATCTCACAAGGGGTCCTGGTGCATTGCACAAGGGATGCCGGTGTGTTGAACAAGGGGTCCTGGTGTGTTGCACGAGGGTTGCATTGCACGAGGGTTACGTTGCACAAGGGTTGCATTGCACAAGGGATGCTGGTGTGTTGCACAAGGGGTCCTGATGCGTCACAGAAGGGGTCCTGATGTGTTGCATGAGGGGTGCTGGTGCATTATGTGAGGGTTGCGTTGCACGAGGGGTGCTGGTGAGTTGCACAAGGGGTGCTGGTGCGTTTCACGAGGGTCATGTTGCGTGAGGTGTGCTAGGGTGTCACAGGAGGCATCCTGATGCATTGCACGAGGGGTGCTGGTACATCACACGAGGGGCCCTGGTGCATCGCACAAGGGGTGCTGGTGCATCGCACGAGGGTCACATTGCATGAGCGTTGCACGAGGGTCACGTTGCACAAGGGTTGCATTGCACAAGGGATGCTGGTGTGTTGCACAAGGGGTCCTGATGCATCACACAAGGGGTCCTAGTGTGTTGCACGAGGGGTGCTGGTGCGTTTCACGAGGGTCACGTTGCATGAGGGGTGCTAGTGTGTCGCACGAAGGGTGCTGGTACATCACAAGGGTCCTGGTGCATCTCACAAGGGTCACGTTGCACGAGTGGTCCCGTCGCGGAACCGCCGCCGGCCCGTCCCCGCCCGATCTCGGCGCGGGCGGCGCCGCCAAGCGCAGAATCAGCCGCTCCCTCCCCGGCCCCGCCCCCTCAGGGGGTGTGGGCGGGGCGCTCATAGTCACGTGACGGCGCCATCCGGGTCCTTTGCCTTCTCTGCCTGTTCCCAACATGGCGGCCTCAGGTGAGC